TCATGACGATTGGTAAAGTCATCAAATGTTCATTTTTACCAAGCCACCCTGCCAACATGTGGTTGTAAAAATCCATCTTGCTTTAAAATTGATTTCACATTACGGGGACCGTCCCGCTGGAAACAAAATGTAATCTTAGAAGTAAACGCATCATGAGCTTGACCTAATTTAATCTCTGCATGTGTAAAGTACATTTAAATATCTCTAGTTTCACTACTGCACTTGTGGTTAAGAGGGTATTTGAGGGTGGCATGTTTAAAGAGCCAACATGTGACAGTGCAAAATGTAACTGCAATAAATCAATCAATAAATTAATAAAGAAATAAATTAATTTAATGTTTAATAATTTAAATGCAAAAATTATAATATATATATAAATATATTTTTTAAGCTACATAATATAAATGCAAAATATCTTTGTTTAAATTACTACCAAATAGTTCCGAATAAACCCAAAAATATTTTTTTCAATATTTATTTTTAAATAAAAACCAATGACATTTTTTGCTGGTGCATCTTAACTTACCTTCTATTAGTGATGCTGGTGTAACTGGTATTGAGCCATGCTCTGATGCAGAAAGCTTGAGCGCTGGCTCTCTGAACGATTATATACCATGCAGTTACGAGGAAGGAAGCCTTCTTGCAGACATTCGACACACCCAATGGAGAAAGCAAAAATTCTCAGTTTCTACACCTTTCTAAAATGCACAATTGTGACATCTTCCCAGAAAGTGTACAAATCATGGATTGTCGTGAGAAAAATCATGTTGCATTGCATGCATTAAAGTTTGGTAACAAATATAGTACATATTGGGGAAGATCTGTCTTCTGTGTGAATGCTGTTTGCAAAAAGATGCAGTGAAATGTAATAAAAATAAATAAAATAAAATAAAACCACAACACTAAAAAAAGTATTAAAAAGCATATAAATAAAATCATAAAATTATTATGCCTTCAAATTATTAAACAATTTACAATTTTATATGTGCAACAAATATATTTTACACTGCAACAAATGGACAATAATGATTTAATACTACTACAGGAAGTCATTGTGACAGTTTCTAGTCAGCACGTGTCGCAGTAGTGAAAACATTTTGCAAGACCCTTTAAATACAACTGATGCTACACAAATATTCTTACAAAAGCTTTGAAGTTGCTATAACTGATATTTCTCAGAAGCCAGTCAGCAAACAGGAAGACCTGGTGACCTAGTAAAGTGGCCTCCTCCCTTACTGTTTTCAGTTCACCTCATCCAGCTGGGTGGAAAAACACACACACACACACACACACACACCGTTAAATTCACTGTAATTTTTTACATTGTATAATGATGGACTCGAACATGTGAGGCCACATGTAGTCAGTTTTAAAGCATTATATTTTTACATATCATCTGTATATGTTAATATTCATTTAAACTAAACGCTTAATAATAATTGTTAAACTAAAATTGCTTGTGTGTAATGGATTAATAATAGTATAAATAATAAAATAATTATATAAATCATAGAAAATAATTGTAAGTAATTATCATTAAAGCTACACAATTTCGAATTTGGATGTGTCAGTGTCACTTTGCTCACATCTGATTGGCCCAATTTCGGTTTGAGATCTCTGACCCAGAACATAACCTGCCCTGGAGCAGGTCAGCTATGGAGTTATAAGTTACTATGGCGATGAACGCCGCTAAAAGCCAAGCCACTTTCATGGTACCTAAAACCCAGGATTGGTGCAAACTAAACTGAAACTTGCCTGGCTAGCCAGCTAATCCGGCTTCATGGTACAGGCCCCTGAACAAGTTAATCAAGATCTGAAGGGTTACTAGATTTCGCTGATTTTCCCAACGTTTTCCCAATACTGACAAAGGAATGCTTGGCAATCATGAACATTTTGGATGTGCAATGATCCATTAAATTCTTAATTTCACCTGTAAACTTTATAAAGGTAGAAAGCGTTCAGTTTTTTGTATTTACTTGTGGCCGATCAAGAGTGAAAAGGGTCTGATTTGGTCCCTTTTTGTCTATGCATCAGTTCTTAGCTCTCATCCAAAATGGTTTAAAATAAACCAGAGTGGAATTACCTAGTTTCTTTTTTCTTCATGTTTTGTATTATACCACTTTGTAAATATTGGGCTAAGATAAAGGAGGGGGCCCTTCTGAAACCACCACATCCTGAGGTAAGAAGCAACACCCTTCACAGTTACCAACGCCCTGTCGACACTTGTGCGCAACGAAAATAAATAAGTGTTATCAGAGAAAGCCACAAAAAAAGCCAAACTGTGTCACTATTAAACCTGATCACGTAAGCACAAACTGAACCTGCGCGATAAATGTTTCAGGAAAGATTCAGCTTTATTGGAAAAAGCTGCACACCAACCAAAAATGCTTCACATGGCTGTTTTATCTTTATATGGATCGATCCAGTCTTCAGATTTGACTTAAATGCAAATTCTCTGAACCAAATACATGACTATTTGGATGCACTTGAGTGAATTTACGCTTCTCATGATCGTAAAAACCTTCTGAGACGTTTGAATTTTCTAACAAAACGCCTTTAAATGCATGAGTTCCTCTATTAGTGGTGTTTAAAATCATTCCAGTATGCACCTCGTGAAATTGGTTGATGAATGAATAAGCAGAGCTGGAATCTACACCAAGAAACTCTAATATAAGTGTTTTTATTTGCGTTGCATCACTCCCAAACCTCAATTTGTGTTATTTTGGAGATTGCGTGACTTTAAAAAAGTGAGTGAATAGATGTGATTTTTTTCTTGAATTGTAGGCCATTCTTCTTCATACACCTTCAAACATTAACTTTACGCTCTCCCGTATCAAACAAGCCATTGGTCTGGCCTGACAGTAGTGATGGGACGATTGATACTGAGGCTCCGATGCTCCGACGCAGTTTTCAAAGCACTATTGTATCACACACTGTGCCGATGCTTGTATCGAAATGACAATACCACGTGATTGATGAAGCTTCGAATGTCATGCAGTATCGGAAGGTCGGGACAGCTGGTTTGAAAAAAAAAAAAAGCTGGTTTGAAAAAGTCGGAGCTTCGCGTGACTCTTGTGTTTGATTTAACATCGACTTGAGTGTTTGTGTGTGTGTGTGTGTGTGTGTGTGTGATAATGGGCAAAGGTCCATGTGGCCTACTGGGTCGATTTCCCAGAGACAACACCACGTGATTGATGACGTTTGAAGCTTCGAACGTCATGCAGTATCGGAAGGTCGGGACAGCTGGTTTGAAAAAAATCAGCGCTTCGCATGACTCTTGTGTTTGACTTTACATTGACTTGGTTGTGTGTGTGTACACTTATTTGGGATTCAGTAGAATAGTTTAGAATAACCTCAACACCAGACAGAAACTGAATGCACGTCACACCTCTATTGCATTTGATCATGTTCTAGCTGGGGTCTCAGAGACCCCGAACAGCTCGCCCAAAATATTTTTGCTACTACTCACGTCAATTATTAATTATAATCACACACTTGTATATTTTATATTATTGATCAATATGTGAATCCGTTGTTCAGGATATCTGATTTCGTACCGACATCTAGCTGTAGTTGAATGTAATTACATTTGAGTTTTTTTCAGACAAGCTGTACAGTACTACTCACATTCAACCACAAGGGTTTGCTCTCTGAACACCTTTACCAGACCAACAGCTCTTAGAAATAAAGTCTGTATACAAAACCTCATGTTAACTCAGAAAAATTAATAACGCAAAATAAGGATACATAGCATGCATATGTAGAAATATTACTAAAGTAAGTAATATTTACTATCAAAATAAGATTAAATTAAATGAAATGGGAAACAAGCAAAACAAAAAAATGCTGATATTTTACTGACCCTTGGGACATTCAAGCTGTAGATGAGTTTGTTTCTTCATCAGATTTGGAGAAATGTAGCATTACATCACTTGCTCAGCAATGGATCCTCTGCAGTGAATGGGTGCCGTCAGAATGAGAGTCCAAACAGCTGATAAAAACATCACAATAATCCACAAGTAATCCACACCACTCCAGTCCATCAGTTAATGTCTTGTGAAGCCAAAAGCTGCGTGTTTGTAAGAAACAAATCCATCTTAAGACGTTTTTAACTTTAAAGCATCCCTTCTGGCCAAAATATGAGTCCATAATCCATAATAACGCTTCCTCCAATGAAAAAGTATATCTTCTGTTGTTTTATCACATAAAAATCCACTGATATAACTGTTTTGGACCATTTTCACTTGAGAACCCTGTTGAAAAAACTAGCATATGCTGGTTAGGTCTGTTTTGAAGCATGCAATGAAAAAGTATATCTTCTGTTGTTTTATCACATAAAAATCCACTGATATAACTGTTTTGGACCATGTTCACTTGAGAACCCTGTTGAAAAAAAACTAGCATATGCTGGTTAGGTCTGTTTTGAAGCATGGCTGCTGGTTTGAGCTGGTCATGTGCTGGTCCTAAACTGGTTCTGAGCAGGAGCTAGTTGTTTAGGACCAGCACATGCAGCTTAAACCAGCTCAAACCAGCAGCCATGCTTCAAAACATACCTAACCAGCATATACTGTTTTTTTCAACAGGGTATTATTAAGTAGTATTAAGGATAGAGGACTCGTGTTTTAGCCAGAAGCAGCAATTTGAAGTGAAAAAAGGTGTCTTAAAGGTGTATTTGTTTATTACAAACACGCAGCTTTTCACTTCACAAGACATTAACTGATGGACTGGAGTGGTGTGGATTACTTGTGGATGATTGTGATGTTTTTATCAGCTGTTTGGACTCTCATTCTGACGGCACCCATTCACTACAGAGCAATTAATTAATTGGTGTGCAAGTGATGCAATGAAACATTTCTCCAAATCTGACGAGGAAACAAACTCATCTACAACTTGGATGACCTGAGGATGAGTACATTTCCAGCTAATATTAATTTTTGGGTGAACTATTCCTTTAAGGCGAGTTCCCTTTCATCCACCGGGCGTCGCCGTTCAGCATCTGTTCGCACAGACAAGTTTTGCTCAGTGTGTGATTGTATGGATCTCCAGCACAAAGCTCGCAGATTGCATTCAGCATGTCCGTGTGTCCTCCCCGGACTCATATCTGTGTGTTATGTTTTTAAAGAGGCCTTAGGGGTGGAAATAAACCTGTCTTGATGAGTTTGATGAAAAGGCGATCTACTGGATGAAGAGGAGGAGCCGCATACACACGTATGCACAAACACACGGAGACAATCGACCAGCAGCCACATTTATTAACTTATTAAACATGAGACGCTTCGTTCGGCACAACATACACACATCACGGTAAGTTTAATTCATTTATTCGAGTCGCTGTAGCTCCGCGGCGGCAAACAAACTTTGCGGGTGTCTGGAAGTCAAAAGGCGTTTGTTTCAAAAACCCAAACAACATTTCTGATCCAAAATATTTAAATGTTATCTCGAAAAAATAGCGGTTTAGCTAGAAAATAACTCAAAGTCACGTTAACAAGAGATAAAAGATCCGTTCGCGGCGAAAACTCTCAAAAATAAATCGAACTTCCCGGATTGAGCTTTTGTTAGAATCCTACAGTGTATCCGGCAACAATGTAACTTTTCATCTTTAATTTCCCGCCATGTTCTGGTCGTTCATTCTACATTTGAACTTCTGGTTTCATGTTAGTCTATGATTTATGATCTGTACACAATCTGTGCTCTGTAAATTAATTAACGCCGTCCAGGTTGAACCTCCTACTTGTTGCATTGTGTTTCATTGTGTCATAATACAATGGGATATGTTGGTTATGGTCACATTTAAGTTTATGATCACATAAAGCTTTAAGTGTTCACATATTAGCATCATAAACCAAAAAATACATTAACTCATTATTGTCTTTGGAAAAACCAGTGGGATGGTGGTCATGGCTTGCCTGGACTTTAGGATTGGCCAGGTTTTTTTCAACTCTGACTGACTTCTGTCCTCCTACTGTTAAACAGCCATGGAAAAACCCCATCATCATCAAGAACAGAAACTTTACAGGAAGCGAGAAATGTAATTTTGACATGTCATGTGTTAGCGTTGAAGGTTTTTCACAGTTGTTTTTGTGAACGTAGCATGAGAGAATGCCTCGATGAGCCTTGAAGCGACTGGAGATCCGTGGATGTTCAACCTTTCAACAACCAATATGAGCTTTTTCAATCCACGTTCCTGCGAACAATTCATCAGTGCACGTCACTCCAAAAAGAAATATGTTCATTTCTGTGTTCATTTCTGATATACTGGCCCATATCTGGTCATTTCGAGGCGACATTTAAAGTTGCCTAGTGTCAAATCTACACCTGAAGATGTGCATATTTTTCTTTTTTGGTGAATTATATCTCATTATGGGAGTGAAATTGGTTTCATGTTGGCGTTAATGTCTCGTATTTTATGTAACATGACAGTGAACACTATAATAGAGGGGATGGGCTCACATTGAGAAACTCTTCAGTGAACAGGAAGTTGATAGTCGCTGATGAATGCAGACGTAGTCATAGGAAATTCAGGTTGCCAGGAGTGTTAGACGGTTGGGTGTCCCTGCCTTGTGTACTCTTTCTCAGTCTCTATTTTGAAGCATTATTGTGAAGTTGAGAGGGAGGCCCACAAAGCTTTTTTTGTTGCACCATATGTGCACTGACGTACTACTGAAAGGGAATCACTGAATGAGAGACCTGGGAGTAGGGCTGGGCAATACAGCTTTACAAATATCAGTTTTACAGCCTTTTATAAAATAGTTGAGATACAGCTCAATAGATATGTTTTTTTGGTCTGATTTGGCTTAAATATGTTGTTTTTGGTCGTCAACCAGAGGAATGATCAATTCAAACAAACAGTCAAAAATAAGTCTTTTTTTTTTTTTTTTGGCACTCTTTTTTTTCTACTGAATTAATAATTATTGTGAAGTTGAGAGGGAGGCCCACAAAGCTTTTTTTGTTGCACCATATGTGCACTGACGTACTACTGAAAGGGAACCACTGAATGAGAGACCTGGAAGTAGGGCTGGGCAATACAGCTTTACAAATATCAGTGTTTTACAGCCTTTTATAATAGTTGAGATACAGCTCAATAGATATGTTTTTTTGGTCTGATTTGGCTTAAATATGTTGTTTTTGGTCGTCAACCAGAGGAATGATCAATTCAAACAAACAGTCAAAAATAAGTCTTTTTTTTTTTTTTTTGGCACTCTTTTTTTTCTACTGAATTAATACAATGAAAATGTATTTATTAATTTCATTTACATGCAGGAATATAACAACTGCAGTATTTTTTCTACATGTATTTTTGCTAAAACGTTTACTTTGTAGCTTAAAGTCACAATATTTTTAGACCTTTAATAATATTTTTTATATATGTAAATGTTTGTATTAGCTCTGATTTGGCTCAGTTTGATTTCATCAATCAGAGGAATCATTATTTCAAACAGTAGTCATTTGCAAAATAAATCAAGACATTTGTTCACACTGCCTTTTTTTTTAGGAAACTGAAGAAAAATATTTACTTATTCATTTATGTGCACTAATATAACAACTAAATTGTTTATAACATCTATTTTTACTTAAACTTTTACGATGCCGCTTAAAAAAAAAATCACAATATATATTTTTTTCGGTCTTCAATAATATTTTTAATATTTCAGATTTTTTTTTTCTCAGATTTGCTTAAAAATGTTGTTCTTTTGTCCTCAGCCAGAAACATCATTTCAAACAAACAGTCCTTGCAAAATAAATCTAAAGGCTTTTTTTAATTAAACATTTTTTTGAACAGAAATTAACAGTATTTTTTTCTGCATCTTTTTACAAAAATCCTTTATGAAAAATTCTACACTGATAATCACTGCATATGAATAAATAGACTTCTAAGGTGCAATTACTTAAATACCAAACTAATGCGATGTTTTGTTAGTAAAGTTTAAAAAGATGCTATTAAAACAATTTTTGCTCTTCTGCATCATATTTAGGGAATCAAATAAAATGTGCATTAAATTATCGCAATATTAATGATGTTGCTTTATAATTTTTTTATTGCAAGCAAAATATGTGAATATTTAGTAGATATTCTCAGCCTTATATTAGGCCTAGGTCGATATTTTCTTCTGTAATGGATGAACATGAATCCATTGGTGACATAGAAACCAGTGGCTTTATATTGATCCACTAATGAGTATTGACGAACAGATGGCAAGAATTAGATCGGGTTTCTCCTACATGAGGTTCCCAGAAGCCGCCTTCCTCACGAAAATCTGCCAGATTTGCAGTTGACAGCGGAATGCTTCCCTAATTTAGTGAAACATCCACCGTGAATCACTCATCTGTTTGGCTGCGGTAAAGACGGGCTTTTAATCTAGAAGGTGCCCCAAAGTGGCCTGACAGCAATGCATTATGGGTGTGTGAGGGGGAAGATAAAAGACGCTTTAAAAGCATCAAGTGAACCGACCAGAGTTTGCGGTGCGGACTCGGGATGGCGAACGCGCGGTAGGAGCGGATGCAAATTGTTAAAGCTGAGCGAAAAGTTTCTCCGCTTCCAATGCGTGCACTCGATCCAAGTTTATAAATATCCCTAATTATAGAGCACATGAAGAAATGAGTCTGGTCTGACACACATTCGTTTGCTGTTTTGCATTAACCCCTTCTAAACATGTTAGCCTGACATTTTTGGGTGTTTAAGTCATGAATAACGGAGCGATTATTGTCTATTGTGTGTCAAACTGTCCCGGAGATGAATGGGAGTGTCCGGTCACGCTACTGGCAGCGTGTGGTGTGGTTTTGATGACCGTCCACACACTCACCCATTGATCTCATGCCGGAAGTAGCCTGTCTGGACGGGAGTGGAAAGTGGATGGAGTAGTTTGAGTGCCAGGACCTTCATAAAACACCCCCCTCCATCCTCCGTCGCCGGACGCGCTGAGCTCAGCTGCAAGGTTTCTGGAGTAAATTTCTGTTGACTTTTGCTTGACTTGTGACGCTGTTTGTTTAGTGAACGGGCAAACATTGCGCCATTCTCCTCTTCATCTGATGTAAATACACAGCAGGAGGTTTAATAAGTCTGCGAAATGGGCCATCGATGCACACGATTATCACATGTAAAAGGCCATAATTCATCAATCAAAAGATTCAACCCTGATTGCATTGTGACATTATTTTCTTGTCATTGATGTACATTTCTTCCTCCCAAAATTCGAATTCCCATTAAAATGATTATAATTATTAAATTATATTTGTAAGTAATAATGATGATAATAATAACAATAATAATTTTATTATTATTATTATACATTTTTGTAAATTACAATTGCCCATATTCATCATGGTAGTATTTATTTTATTGCATCTTTAAATAAATTTTACATTTAAATATCTTGATTTAAATTTTTTTTAAAAAGCTACATTTTTGCGTATTAAGAAATTGAGACAACTGTGTGTAGTAGTTATGAATACAATGTCAAAATGCTTAAATAAGCTTTTTACTTTTAATTTTGAGACGAAATAAGACCTAGACTTTTGTTAACAACATGATTCACATATGATACTTTTAAGAAGTTTAAAAATTTTTTTTTTTTTTAATAATACTTTTGTTCATCGCGGATGCATTAAATTGATCAATAACTACAATTATATGGTTGTAAAAGATTTCTATTTCAAATTAATGCTGTTCTTTTCAACATTCTATTCATGAAAGAATCCTGAAAAAAGTTCTAATTTCCACACACATATTCAGCAGCACAACTTTTTTTATAACATTGATAATAATCAGAAATGTTTCTTGAGCAGCAAATCAGCAAATGTGACACTGAAGACTGGAGTAATGATGCTGAAAATTCAGCTGTACATCACAGGAATAAATTACATTTTACAGTATATTCAAATAAAAAACACTATTTTAAATTGCTAAAATATTTCACAATATTACTGTTTTTACTGTATTTGTGATTAAATAAATGCACATGGTGAGCAAAGAGCGACTGCTTTTAAAAAAAACTTTGGAACAGCAGTGCATGCAAAATCTGTTTTGGTTTTTCTGTGTAGTATTTTATTCATCTTTATACAGCCAAGAGAAAGCATGAACCCTTAACACCAGCGGAAAAAGAGAGTGTTTTTGGTCTTCTTTTGTTGGTTTCTCATGCTGAACGCCACACAGGCAAAAGGCGAGGCTGACGTGACATTCCTTTTGGATATGCCAGCTAATCCCAGAGCTCGTGTAATGACCAACAGAAACATTCAGTGAATGGAAAGCCCTCAAAGAGCCAAACGGAGTCTGGAGCCGTTATATCGGGAGATTTAGGAGGAGCAGG